CTTAACGGTCATGTGTCATCAATCATCATACAGCAAATCTGAGTATTGAACTGCGGAAGTGACTTTCACATTCCCTAGGGCGATCCCAAAGTTCCGCGGCGCCAGAATCAGGCATCACCCCTGTAATTTTTGAAAAAACTGAGACAAACACTTGATATTTAGTGAGTATGGCCCTGGGTCGAAGGAATCGATTTATTTTTTTAACGATTTTAAAAAGAACACTCTGAAAAATGTTTGGCAGACCAAAAAACTCCCTAATGTAAAATGGATTGCATTTTGCAAAAAGGAACCAGTAGCATTGCCATGTTACTACGATTTTGCAACTCCACACTCAGCAATATAACTACTATAATCGTGCAAACATACGGAATTTACATGGTAATTTTGGTCTTAAAACGATTTGTAGCGAGTAAAATAGAAACAGTTTGGCCATAGTCGGGTTTTTCTTCCAAGACCTCAGAAAATGCACAATTTCAGCAATGCTCTTGATTCTTTTTTGCAAAATGCAATCCAAACGGTCTTACCATTTTACATTAGGGATTTTCTATTAGGGATTACTGGGGTGGTTCGGGACATCGAATCGTCCTGTAGGTAAGATAGCAATGAGGAGTCGATGAAATACATTGTCTCTACGAGCAATAGATATGTTTAGTAGATATGTAATATAGATATGTAATAGATATGCAATAGATATGCAATAGATATGTAATAGATATGTAATATAGATATGCAATAGATATGTAATATTTAAATACGATAATAAAGATAGAAGGGGAGTGTCCCTGATATAAAAAAAAAAAAAAAAAAAAAATAGATATGTTTAAAATACAGATATATAGATACAGATGATACATATGATAGATGATAGATATGTTGTAACAGATATGTTGCAAGTATTCGCTCGGCTCACTTCTCGCCGGCGGCGGTTTGTGGAACCGTGGCTTTGCACACGCGATGTGACACTGCGCGACCCATCCGATTGAAATTCGGCCGGATTTAAGTGGTTTTTTATGTCGCGCCGCGCCACGCGTCCAATTTCTAACACTTTTTGCCCGGGAGAGGCATCTTTCCTTTTTCTCCAGACAGCTTTTCTGTTTGGCGTTTTCTGCTCAAGAATAGATTGATGCTGAAACCAATCGGATCATTTCCTCATGAGCTCTGAGCTCCACAAGAATCCGTATATTTTAGGGCTGATTGGTCAAAACGCAAGCGCTGTTTTAACAGCGATCGATTCATAGACGGCAGAAAAACTCAGTTTACTGTCAGGAAGTTAGAAATTGACCGGGCCACTGGACAGGGTTTGACTTGAAGCACTACAAATCATATTTTCTAATGCAGTGCGCTTAATCCATCAGAATTCAGAAAGTCCAAAATTTCTCTACGCGTAAGAAAGTATAGCTTAAATTTACAATAGAATTAGTGCGAGACCTCCTGCTCACTAAAAAAGTCGAATCAACATGGGTCCAATCGGTCATTGAAACCAAATTCATATGTTGCAAATGCAATATGTTGCAAAATGAGCAAATAGCTAACACTGCAAAAGACTGCGAAAATCGGTCGTTTTATTTGTTTATTATATCTTGTAACCATGGATGTTGATGTAACTACCGGGTTAGTTGCGACCTCCACCGCGGTAGTTATCGTAACTACCGCACGGTAGCTGGTGCATTTTTAACCAGCCGCTGGTTGTGTCGACTACCCTATTTTTTTTCCGTGAAGGGCAGGGCTCATGCATGAGTGAGAGTGATCCGATGCCGATCTCCTCTTCCCCATCGTCACCGCTGACGTCACTGGCGCTTTATAATTCCCATCCATTCTTACAGCCCCCAACTGACGAGCACACTCCTTTTTTCCCACCCGTCCAATATTTTTAGCATAAATTCGTCCGATGGACCACTAGACACGGCACGAATTTCAGCATTCTGATACATGATTCTTCACCAAAATTTCACGCAAAACACGATGCACACAACGAAAATTACCGAAATTAACTCCTCACAAAGATATTTAATGATTCTTGATGCGTGAATTCAAACCACCCGCTCATGAAAACTCAATGCTCTGTGTGATTCACATCGTGCGCTAAACGTTTATCATGACAGTCTCTGCGATATAAAAATCTGGCAACCTCGATCTTGACGCTTTGGCTCAGCTATAGCAAATTGCTTCTAGTTTGAACAACACATGGTGGGAAACGAACGGTGGTCGATTGAGAAGCTTGCTGAAACCGTTGTAGTGCGCGATTTGACTCACGTAGAGCTTTGAGTTTCTTGTGAGCGGGCAGTTCAAATTCCTCGTAACCAGTGTGAAATAAAATCGTTAATATTTTCGTTAGGAGTTTGTTTCAGTAATTTTCGTTGCGCGAATTGTGTTTTACGTGAAGTTTTGGTTAAGGATCATGTATCAGATTGCTTTAATTCGTACCTTGTCTTGTGGTCCATTGAATGTATGTTAAATAATTGAATCTAAGTGAGGCAGCCGAATACACCGATACACCGAACACCGGTGAGAACCCACATACTGGACGGATTTGAATAGAGTCTTAAGAGTGTTGCCAACTTACTGGAATGGCCATGGCAGTGATTCGCATGACAAAGTTGCAAGAGAGCGTCGAGAAAGTGTGTAAAAGAGTGAATTTTTGTTGCTGGACTTGGTTGATGGACGGTGAGTTGGGCAGTGGACGGGCTGACTCAGGGGGCATGCCCGCGGTGACCTCTTAATTAATGACTCCCGGAGAGATGGGACACGGGCAGGGAATTATAAGTAGAGGCAGCCGCACTCTGCCCGCCAGCAACAACTCTGCCTCGCTAACCTTTACAGATCGGGGGAAAAACCACCCTGTCGGCTGATAACTGATCCTCTTATCACAGCGATTATCCTTATCCATGCAGGTTATCATGGTCGTTGCTTCAAAAAATTGCAGTAACGGAGGCCTTCAAAAATGGACTGCATTTTGAAATATGGAACCAAAACTAACTGATGCGTAAAAGCACTTATCTGTGTGGGGAAACTATTGACACGTACGTTGTTTTTAAAATGAACCAGAAAGAGTGGTTCCTTATTGCAAAATTAAGTCCATATTATATGAGAAGATTTTTCAGAATTTTTGTCCCGCCCCCTCCCCCCCTTGTAACGGTTTGAAACGCAAACCCCGACGTTTCCTGGATATTACTTAACAATTGCCCCTTAAGATCCCAAATTTTGTAGGAAACTATAGAATATAAAGGTGGATAAAATTTGAGGTATTTTTAATGATATGTGACAATTAACGTACATTCAAACGAGCAGTATAAACTTCAATACAATTTGTTGATAAGTCGCGTCACTGACTCCTGCATCAACCTGATTTTTTTTCATACACTGAGATTTTGATGAAAATAAGTGGTGCATGAAGAGAATGCGCGATCTACAACCGATGGCGAATCGTGCATCGATATTTTAAAGGATCAAATCGATCCTGACACGCTAATTTTTCGAGAGGGTCGACCCTTCATCCTCTAATGCGGACCAAAAAAATTCGCCCCTTTCAATAAGTTTTTTGTTTCAATCAGATGATGTTGCTCATTATTTGTTAGAATGAAAGAGACTCATTTTTGACGGAAAATATTCCTTCCTTCTTTATGAGAGACCCCGAAACTATCCAATTGTTTCGATTCGTCAGGGATCGAATGGGATCGGATCAGATCGTCATGTAATCATTTGGGCATATTCGATTGGTTAATTTTGAACGTCATCAGGCGGTATTGCGCATTAGCAGATTAGGTCATTTGGTCATATCTGCTCGAATTAATTGTTCAATTCGGAAACCAAGCATATTCTTATGCTGAGCTCCCTCAGTATAGTTTTTTCTTACAAATTAACTTCAAAAAACTTCAGACATCTGCAAATTCTCCACCATAATGATACATCATTCTGGACAATGGACCACTAGACAAGGTACGAATTTCAGCATTCTGATACATGTTTCGTAACTAACTTTTACGTAGAACACGATGCGCACAACAAAAATTACCGAAATTAACTCCTTACGAAGATATTTAATGATTCCTGATGCGTGAATTCAAACCACCCGCTCCTGAAAACTCAATGGTCTGCGTGATTCACATCGCGCGCTAAACGTTATCATGACAGTCTCTGCGGTATAAAAATCTGGCAACCTCAATCTTGACGCTTTGGCTCAGCTATAGCAAATTGCTTCTAGTTTGAACAACACATGGTGGGAAATGAATATTGCTTGATTGAGAAGCTTGCTGAAACCCTTGTAGTGCGCGATTTGACTCACGTAGAGCTTTGAGTTTCTTGCGAGCTAGCAGTTCAAATTCCTCGTAACCAATGTGAAATAAAAACGTTAATATCGTAGTTAGGAGTGGGGTTCAGTAATTATCGTTGTGCGAAACGTGTTCCACGTAAAATTCTGGTCAGGAAACATGTATCAGATTGCTTAAATTTGTACCTTGTCTAGTGGTCCATTGTTTTTTGAACAAATCGGATATTATAAACTTAGCGCCATTGAGCTCAATGCAAATATAACCGAGGAAAGGATTGATTGGACACGTGGAGTGCTTTAATTCAACAGTTAGTCGATCGCTTAGCACAGCTAAATTGTACTGCTTTTCGATGAGACTTTTGTCCAATTTTCTCTTTCTTCAGTTCTAATACTAATCAGTAAAATTCTGGTTAGGAAACATGTATCAGATCGCTTAAATTCGTACTTTGTCTGGTGGTCCATTTTAGTTCATAGGTTGGCTATTTTTTTTTGGGCTTTAAAAGCTCTATGACCTAACCTCCAAAATTACCGACGTATCCGTCTCCTTGCTCTCCCCATATGGGTTCTCTGGGGCTCTCGTGGCAACGCGGGACGAATCCGCCGAGGGGGTGAGGGATGTGGGATACTGTACCCCCTCCCCCCCCCTCGCGGGCGCAGGAGCGAGGGCGAAGGGTCGCGGCTGGCGACGTCTGTTTATCCTTTTCGTGGCGCCAGTTGAACTTGCCGAGCTGCGTGCGAGGACGTGCCGCCATCCGCCACCCGTTTCCCGTTCCGCCACGCGTGATTTTTACGCGAAAGTTCAAAGTTCCGCGGGAAAGTTCCGGGCTACGCACGCCGATTCCTCCAAGTGTACGATGAAAGGGAAAAATCGGTTGTGATTTTTTTCTCTCTCGGGTGCGGCGTTTTACGCCTGATTGATAGTATGATTGAAGGTGATGATCGGGATTTCGACCGAATTTTTTAAGCTCAGTCGTATGAATTTGAGACAATTTTCCACACGGAGAAGCACTGAACGTGTTTCAGGCTTCTACTAGATTCTTCCCTTGATTCGCGTCTCATTAAGGGTGCAATTTATGGTGATGATCGATTGTCAACGAACAATTTTTCAAGTTCGATGAGCTGATTGGAATTTTAAAAAGTCCACTGCTTGGTCTAGTTTCACTCCTGGTTGATGGCATATTTTACGGTGACGATCACATGTGAACCAATAATTTTTTTTAAAGTAAATGATTAATACTCAAACGGCATTCCAACAAGTGATTCTAAGAAGTGATAGGGCTTCGGATAGTTTTTTCCACTAGTTTTTGCTCCAAAAATTGTGCTAATACCTGTAACAGAGTAATTTTTTCAAAATTTTGAAATGAAATTGATTCGACCCATGCGAGAGAAAATTTAAAACGTCTCAGACGAATCATTTATGATTTTGGTTACTATAATATTCAGTTAATTTATCCAAATTTGAGAGTTATCAACCTAATCCATCACTCGAATCAGTTTTTTTCCCCCTTGTGGTTTTTCAGATGGGAGGAGATTCGATTTTGTTGTTAGTACATATACCACTCCAACCGGTAATTACGGGCAACTAACAGTGTTTCAATTTTATTCGGTGATATTTCTACACTTCTGACGCACGCACTAATTTTTCTCATCATCATAGGATACCCACATATTTTTGGACATCCTACCGTTCATCATCCAAACCCATTCGGATTTAAGGTACACTATTGTCTACTACATTATTTTGAGTTGTTATTGTCAATTTGTTCTTGTTGTTCTGAGGTCAACTACACCAGATTGATAAAAAAGTACAGAAACAAATGGGTTTACAAGGCTAAGGAGCAATAAAACAAACCAGGACGTTTCGGGCCTGTTACATGTCCATTCTCAACTGGAACAAAAGCTGAAAACTGTAAAAATTAAAACAAAATAAGTATGCAACTGTCCGAGGTACGAATCAGTGCATCTCTCAAACTTCTAATGTAAAGGGATACGTTTACGTGAAAAATCAGCTCATTTTGTTAGTGTTTTTACCAATATTTTTTTGAAATTTAAAAAAGAATTCAGCGCTTTGCACCAGTTTCTGAATGACGTCTTTTGTGCAACCCTCCTCCCACCTGTCACGCACCTGTAACGTTAGTTATGATCATCTTCGCCCTCAAAACGTGACGTGATTTATGGGCGACCCCTGAAGAGAATCAGTAAATAGTCATTTTGACAATGACTTAGTCAATCGGTCAGGTGAATCACGTGATCTCATTTTTTGAGCCTCAAATTTTCTACGATCAAACTTTTTACATTATGTGACGTAAAATGGCGCACCGTCGAAAATGTCTGTGTGAAATTATGATTATATTTCACATCGGAGCCTAATTTGCCTCCAGAAAACCCGAGTGATATAAGGGGGCAGAACTCTCCCTTATTTCGTACGGAACGATATAATTCCTTATTCATTACAATGTTTCTGGTTTTTTGGAAGTCGAAATAGGCTCCAGAATGAAATGCACCACAGGTTTTCTTCCGATATTGCTGAAAGTGCGTAGTGGGGGAAACAAATACAATTTGATATTATCGATTAGGTACTTATAAATCAACGATGGAATCGTCCGTTAAAGCGTTATGAAACGACTTTAAAAAAAACTCTCGCGACCCAAGTATCGTGTGGTGATTGCAATAAGTAAGTCGTGATTTCTTCGGAGAATGTATCGTGATTTCATCGATCGATTCATTGCAATTTTATCGGATAAAAAATTGCGATAAATGGCGATTTCATCACATAAATTTGCAATGAAATCGCGATTTTATCGGCGGCGATCTATCACAATATTGACGAACAAAAAGTCGTGATAAATTGAGATAAAATGTCGATTTCATGGAGAAAAAATTGCGACAAGATCAAGGATAATGGCTCAGATGTTGATGATCCTAGCGATTTTATCGTCTAAAAATCATAAGAAAAATCGCACCCTAATATCACAATAGAGCGATTTTTCCAACGGAAAAATGCTACTTGGGGAAAAGCAAAACACCGAGACTACCTTCTTTTCCAGGGGACTGATTATTGAAATTGATAGACAAAGCGATAGACAAAGAAGACATAGAGAGTATGGAGCGATCCTATTGGTTGAGACGGGTGCCTTTTATAGACTAAGGGGGAAAATGACGGGCTGACTGTTGGGTCTCTCGTGGGTTGCCGTTGGGGGGGGGGGGGGATGACGGACCCTCGGGTCTCTTGTGGGTTGCCGAAAGTTAGTTTATTACTTACCTCCTTTGTCCATCCAACCTCCCATTTTGACCAGTAGGATAGCTTCATTTGCCCACTATCTCCTATGTCATCGCTTTATCTCTTAATTTCAATAATCAGCTCGCAGGTGAAATAAACCAAAAGCAAACCAGAAAACAAACCACGAGGGCCGAGAAAGTATCGGTGGATCTACCTTCTTTATCAAAGGCGGAGGGGTGTCGAGAGAGCTCCGGTTAAAATCACGTGAAAATACATCTTAATCAGAATAAATTATTCATTCAAATTAAACTGCATTTGAAATGGAACGGCAGTCGGAAAATGTTTACTAATCACGAGAGATCTTCGTTAAAACGCTGTGTTCCGACTGCGTTGGGCTAATGAAGCACTCGCGAGGCGTGAATGGTCGATTATCGATACATCTCCGTTTGAGGCTATGGTAAAGAATCGTAGTAAGGTGTTCGCTGCGAACACCCTGTTTATCGATACTTTTCCGTGGGTTTAAATGACAGACCAATCGATATATCGCAAAGCACGCCACGCCATAGCAATGAAGAGCCTCGTGCCTTCATTATATTTTCATTAATTGTTTGATTGTGAGTGTTCGAACGAATGGTCACATATCGTGCCGAGGCAAGGACGGTGCCCGCGTTCATCACTATGAAATTTTCTTCAGCGTATAATTACCGATCGGAAGTGATTCCAGTTAGTTAATTTGCGTTCAACTCTCTTTTTTGCCTCGTCCAATCGAGATTATCTGAATGGGCGTGCTCAGGGACGATATATTTTAGGAACTTCGCATCGTTATCATCCCCACAACGTTATTCACTAATACTATTACTGAGTTATTTTCGGAAATCAACACTTTAGAATAGCTTCATGATGATGAATGACCGAGAGAGTAGAAGTTGGTTCAGCTAACAGAGGGCTGATTATTGAAATTTATAGACAAAGCGAGACATAAGGCGGATCCCGAGGGAGGGGAGGGGGTCGTAGGGGGCGTGGGGCGTGGGACGTGCGCCCCCCTCACCGTTTGCCCGAAAAAAGGAGTTAGAAAAAGGGGAGCAAGAAAGAAGGAAGGATTCTTTCTTTGGTAATTATTCATGACGAAATTGACACAAAATGCATATTTGTTGCTTTAAAATTTCGAAAATTTTTGGGGGAGCCCCCCCGGACCCCTCTTACACCCTTGTATGTAATGATACTACGGTGTAATGATATACTAAAATTTCACTCGTAGCTGAAGATCCGCTCGATTCAGGAACCGAAGCGCCTAAGACGCGCCTTCAATCATGCGCGATACCACCCGGCGGCATGAGAGTTAAAATAGTTGCATCAAGTGATCGTGCGGAACCGTATCTGCCGCGCTAAGGAAGAACGCCATATGAACATTTGAGAGTTGCCAAATTTCCTCCGATAAAATATTTATTTTCGAGGAAAGCTATGAGTATTTTTCCAGTAATTATCAGGAACTTAAGTTGAAATTGCGAACAAAATTATCTAAAAAATCGGAGGAAAAATATTTGCAAATTTTTCCAAAAAGCTTGCGATTTACCAAAGGATATTATTCGCAACGCCTGAAGGTTCTTATGGCGTTTTTCCCTAGCACGGCAGCATAGCACAAAAATAAAAAAAAAATTGTATACATTTATTCTCTGATATCTGGCACCTCCGCTGGGGTCTCTGACTGAACTTCGGAAGCTTCGACAAGTCTTGTTGGCTTCGTTGACACATCACTTCATTACCTAGTCGTTACGCTAATTTCTGACGCCCAAATGCTCCTCCTTCCGCTCCCTCCTTCTTCCTCGATTCCTCCATTGTCCTGTCCCAGTTTTTGACGTTTTATTTCCTCCTCATTTGTTCGAATAACATCGAAACCGAGGAGCAGACATTTCATTTCAACTCTGGCTCCGTCTGAGTTGAACTTTTTTGAATGAGAGCTCCTCGCAAGTATTCTGCCTTGCTGAGGAAGAACGCCGTATGAGCCATTAAGTGTTGCCAAATTTCCTTCGACCAATCGCGGATTTACATGGAAATTTGTGAATATTTATCTTCCGATTTTTCAGAGGATTTCGTTCTCGATTTGATCCGTAAAGTCTGAGAATTTCATGGAAAGAAATTTGGCAACCTTCGAATGCAAAATACTGGCAAAAAACATATGAGAGGAGATTTTCGGCCCATTTGAATTTTATTAGGCCCTTAATCGTCCGATGGCAATTGAAAAAAAATGTATCACCCAAAAGTATATATCCTGAGCCGGAAGAAGAAGAAAAAAATCGAAAATCCGAAAGTATGTTTTTTGGATAATTCAGATTGAACATTGGGTGGCTAAAAAATAGTAAATTTTAAAAACCCTGAATTACGGTAAATTAAGTAATGCTTACCTCAATTTCAATGTATTATTTCGAATCTGCATAAGAAGTTAAACTAGCAACACTCTTAGTAAATAGTATGGATTGAGGCAGAGTCTCGCTATGGAGAGTCAAAGAGAAGGAAGTTGAGAAAATGAGAATCGCTAAAACGGGCTTGTTTTAATATCGCTAAAATTCATCCCATCTTTGGGGGTCGAGAACGGAGCGTCAGGTGGGCAAATCCTTCCAAACAGTTTCTTAGAATGATGTAAGGACCCCATATACCAATTTTCAGCCAAATCGAAGGGGGTCGGGTACCGGGCCTGGTTGAGTTGACGTATGGAATGAACCTACTTTGAAAATTAAAGCCGAAATAGTAATGAGCTATAACCTCCCTGTGTTAATTCTGCTCCCTCAATTTTTAGACTGAAAACGCTATTGCTTTCGTCCCCTCATAAAATGGAAAAAATTGGCCGAATTCGATCGGTTTTTTTTTACTTTAACAATTTAGCGACGCACCGCAAGTACTCCCATACGAGCTGGCTAAAATGGGCAACATTCGTGACAATGCGCTGCCAGCGTTGCGTGCTGCGATCGAATGAAATTGACCCTTAAATGCGCTGCAGGAACGGCGTTTGCGGAGGAAAATGCATTTTTCGCGTCAAAATAAACTTATGCAAACACAGAGTAAACGCTCTGGGTAGCAGGGCACGGCGGTCAATTTATTTGTTCCTGATGGCAATTAAGATACGAATTTCGTTCATCAATCCGAATGCCGTGCTGTAATATGGGCTGCCATCGGGCTATGCCAGCTATCGGGCTGCCGAGCCCGACATCTATTTCCTGTGGGTAAATCGCTTGCCGCAGTTTTGTATACACCCAAAGGAAACGCTCTGAATTCGCAAACCGTTTTTTCCTCTTGTTTCTTCTCCCTTGTTTTATGCGGCGAGGGAAATTTGTTCAGGAAACTTTTGAGTTTTGGTTCTCTATCCAAATATTAAACTAAGTTTAATTAAAAAACGAAGACTTATCGTATTATTATTTGGGGGTACGTCCCTGCGGCCGCTGTGCGGCCCAACCCCTCAGACAGCTGGACCCCTCACCTGAGGACTATCGCCTGTCGATAG